ACTTTAAAAATTAAAATATTTAATAATTTAAACTGTTTAAAATTAAAAATATTTCATATTTTTGCAAATTATTATTATTTAAACAATTAAAATGTTATTATTTTTAAAGTTTTCTTTTCGTTCCCCACAGCTAACTATCAGACATCGGATGGGTAGACACTTTGGGTTTAAATTAAACTCTATTCTCTATAGACCTTGGAAATCGGTACAACCGTAATTGAAAGCCTTTTACCAAAGGATTTTTTCCAGTATATAAATTGAAACCTAAGCATAGGTTTGTTATCATCCTTTTAAATGCGTTGTTTCTATTATAAAGTGTTTTAAATTTGTATATTTTGAAAACCATGAATGAGAATGAGTCGGGGTTGCTAAGTTTTCCCTCTGACAAAGAATTTCCTCCATTCCCTTTTCTTTCAAGAGGAAGGGCTCCTTAACAAGGTTAGGTTATTTAATTACGTCAAAGCCTCGAGGGCTGTCTGCCTAAGGGAAGTGGTGCCTTCGTGGTGGACTTTCTAAGGGAAACTGGTTCGTATACACGTTACACAAGGGGAAAACCACGAAAACAGCCAGCCCGTTCGCGGGATTCGAACCTCGGACCGAACTACCAGTGTTCAGCGACTTTACCGCTCAGCCGCTGGTGAGCAACGGCTCCTTAACAAAATTGTGAAGTCAAAGAAAGGGATAATATTCAGAGTGTAACCTTGGTGTCGAGACTTGGCTTATCTTAGCCTGAAGGCAGCATTTGATCATTAAATATCGTGTAATGAATAGAAGCTAGGGAAAACGGAAAAATATACAGGAAAAAGGATTTAAAGGAGTTTTTATACTTCTGTTTGACAACTTACTGCCAATTTGGCTCTGTTACCTAGTTAAATTAGTATTAAAAGTCAAATAATATACATTTTTAATAAAAAAAAGTCGGACAGTTTCTTTGAATCAGATTTCGTATATGTATTAATCAATCGCATTCATATTTCCGCCCCCTAAAAAGATTGTGAATACATTATATTTATGATCAAATACATTATATTTATGATACGATTGTGAATACATTAAATATAGGATGTATTAAATAACAGGCTGCTCCAGACACATACTTCTGGACGTTTACTATTTTACAACGTTTTCCGGTTTGAAAACAACTATGTGAAGCATCATGTGTATGTAAGTGAAAATATTATTTCAGATTAAGATTCTCTTATAACTACAATGTAAATATGCTTCTATTATCTATTTAAAAATGCAGAATTCAATAAGCCATTCGAGAACTGGCTCTGAAATGTTATACTTACATAATGTTCATTAAATTGTTTTTACATTATTTTGTAATGCTATTTAGTTTCATAAAGTATATGTATAGAGAATGTGAGCTGATTGTGTTTTAAAGATGGAGGTAATAAACATAAAATAAAAGGGAGACTACACGCATTCGTAGATAAAGTGACATATCACAGAGAAAGTTAAGGAAATCAAAATGGTGTAAATGCAAAGTCCCACAGGTCATGTCACACAGTTCAGTAAAATATTACTAGTGATGAAGCAGAACAGATACTTTTGAAAAGTGAAATAAAATCTGTTAGCTGCTGAGGAAAGAGCAATAAGTTTCTTTTTATGGACAGAAATTTAAATATCTCAGAATTGAATGCTTGACTCTCCACTAAAATATGCCGCTGAAATAGCAATTTGCATATTTTACAAAAGTCAAAATGTTGCTATTAAATATAAGACATGAAAATTTCAAAAATCTTAAATAATTTTCAAAATACTGTACTATAATAAATTAAGAACTGCAGTGAATGAGAGGAATATTCTGATTGTTAGGAATTTTCTTTTAGGTTTTCGCCAATACTAAAGCCAGAAGTGGTGGTCATTTTATTGTGGAGTCGTCTAACAGGCGACAATAGTTACATCCTATGACGGGACAGACAATTTACATGTATGCCTTCTCGGGGATTCGAACCCAGGCACTTTGGTATCGCAGTACCCACTATACTTTTACCCACTATACCGTCTCGGCAGCGTTTCTTAGGAACTAATATTTTTTGCTGTACATCATATGCCTAACGCTGAAGCACAAATCAGGCATGGCTAAACTGAGGCTCGAAAGTCAGATGTAGTTCACGTTGTAACGAAGCAAGTTTACTTTTGAAAAATAATTGCCGTTTGAAACAGGAATTGAGTTACAACATATTTTTTTAATAATCGATGATTTAATTTTTTAAATCATATTGGGCTTATTATAATTTCAATCTATGCCATAGTTGCTAATCTGTGAAAAGTAAATAGAAAGATAAAATAATGCCTAATGTATTATTAGCATGTTCATGTTACTCTTGAAACGTGTAGTGGCTATCAGAGAAGCAGAAAGGATAAATGCATTGTACATTGACAACACGCTGTATTCATAATGTACCTCAAATTTTACCGAATACCCTAATGAACACGTGTAGCTGTGATTCGTCCGTCAGACGAATAATGGTTGTGATGCTGACTGCTGTACTGAAGGGATCCGGTTAGAATACCGGAAAAGGCGTGGGCATATAGTGACTGTGTGGCAAGGGGACACTCAAAATATGTGGGAAGTAGAAATCCTCTCGAGAGGTTAGTGGCAGGGAAAGAGGGACGCAAGACTCGGACGCCCTTTCCCCAGGATGTTCTCTCCCGGAATTCCACCAGGGACAGAACCTTAGCAGTTAGCAAGGCCCAGGCAATACCTAATATGTCTACTTGGATGTACAAGTGCCAGTCATGCTGCAATCTGTACCTGCAGGATGTAGTCATTTCTCTCTGCAGTAAGTTACTGTGAATTATCTCGCTTCTCTGACAGTAACATGAGAACAAGCCCACGAAATTCATCATGACAAGGAATGCAAGATTGCCCGTCGTTGGCAAGAGCCTTGAACACATACAGGTGATAGTACGACTTTCCTCAAGTTCCACCCTCCAGGGCGATGTTTCCGAGGGTCTCTCACCACTCTTCTTCTTCCACAAACCTCTCGACAGAACTTTCTGCTGGCCGCATGTTTAGAGTGCTCCCATGCCGCATAGACACTATACATTTACAAACATCCATGCCTTCTCTAACCTGGGCCCTTCGGTATGGCAGTCAGCGTCGCTAACCACTATTCCGGTAGCGCGGCCTCTGCAGTAAGTTGAAGAATTAAGCCGTCTATCTTAAAACCAGAGCCATCTATCAGTAAACAATTAAGCCGTCTATCTTTAAACAGTCAGAATCACTTCACACCATATTTCTAACGAAGCAATCTGAAAATTTTGGCTAAAATAAATGATCACTTTAACAGAAATATTTTTCCGGTAGAAGAAAAATCGTAGTATTTTTAGGAAAACAGGCATTAGCAGCAACTAATATTCATCACAACGGAAAGCTTTCTAGAAAAGAAAGAGTTTGCATTTTAATATTTAATCAGGTATTAGTATAATTATGCATGCCATACACTGAAGTGACAAAAGTCATGGGATAGCAATATGCAAATATACAGGTAGCAGTAGTATCGCGTAGCAAATGTATAAATGCGAAGTGCTTTGGCAGGGCTTTCATTAGTGTTCAAGTTATTCATGTGAAGAGGCTTTGGCGTGATTATGGCCGTACGACGAGAATTAACAGACTTTGAACGCGGAATGGTAGTTGGAACTAGACACATGGGTCATTCCATTTCGGATATCGTTAGGGAATTCAACATTCCGAGATCCACAGTGTCAAGAGTGGGCCGAGAGTATCTAATTTCAGGCATAACATCCCACCATGGACAGCGCAGTGGCCGACCACCTGCACTTAACGACCGAGATCAGCGACGTCTGCGTAGAGTTGTCAATGTTCACAGACAAGCAACACTGCGTCAAATAACCGCAGAAATCAATGTGGGACGTACGAGGGACGTGTCCGATAGGACAGTGCGGCGAAATTTGTCTTCCTTGGGCTATGCCAGCAGAAGACCGACTCGAGTGCCTTTACTGACAGCACGACATCGCCTGCAGCGACTCTCGTGGGCTCGTGAGCATATCGGTTGGTCCCTAAACGAATGGGAAACCGTGGCTTGGTCAGATGAGTCACGATTTCAGTTATTAAGAGCTGATGGTAGGGTTCGAGTGTGGCGCAGACCGCACGAAGCCATGGACCTAAGTTGTCAACAAGGCACTGTTCAAGCTGGTGGTGGTTCCATAATGGTCTGGGCTGTTTTTACATGGCATGGATTCGGTCCTCTGGTGCAACTGAACCGATCATTGACTGGAAATGGATACCTTCAGCTACTTGGAGATCACTTACAGCCATTCATGGACTTCAGGTACTCAAACAACGATGGGATTTTTATGGATGAAAACGCGCCATGTCACCGGGTCACAATTTATCGCGATTGGTTAGAAGAACATTCTGGACAATTCCAGCGAATGATCCGGCCCACTAGATCGCCCGACATGAATCCCATCGAACATTTATGGGACATCATCGAGAGGTCAGTTCGTGCCCAAAACCTGCACCGTCAACACTTTCACAATTATGGACTCTATAGAGGCAGCATGGCTCAATATTCCTGCAGGGGATTCCACGACTTGTGAGTCCAAGCCACGTCGAGTGCTGCACTTCGCCGGGCAAAAGGAGGACCGACAAAATGTTAGGAGGTATCCCATGACTTTTGTCACTTCAGTGTATTAGAAAACATTCAGAACACAATTTTCATTTCCTATTGTAACCCTGTATTATGTTATTGTACCAGACGTTATTTACACCTTGACTAGTATTCTAATAATAAATGGGAAACTTCTGTGTTACGCTTAGAATGAAGGTTTTGAAAGCTTATAATTAATGCTGTTCAAAAACTGATATTTTTAAGGTCAGATGATCTGAGGGGATGATTATGGAATGTTCCCATGTAGTTTCAAAGTGTTTTCTTAAACTTACATGCATACACAAATACCAAAACTTTTATATAAACTCTGATTTTAAACAAACTAAGAAATCTGTTTTAAATACTGGATTGATTTTATAGCTTAGAATATTTTATTCCATTTCCATACATTCAGAAAGTATCTTCACCAGAATACACAAGACCGCGTCTCCAATAAGCTAGCATCTTCAGTTTCTCAGTAGTTTCTTTTATCTTGTTATGGGCTGCTTGAACTACTAGTATATTTTCTGCTGGTAGTCGATTTTCACTGCTGTTGCTGTCTCCTATTTCACCAAGCAGAACCACATTTTCACCTCTTACCATGAGAACGCCTTGAGGGATATCACCATAATCTGCACCTACATGTATTCTTTCAGTAGCATTGTGCATAACCAAGTTCGCGAACTGATCAACGCTGCGCAAGTATCCCAAAAACATTCGCCCATCTCTCAACCATACCAGGATTTGCTTGTCAAGATGCTCGAGTAAGCTTGCTGCTCCAGACACAACCTGCAAATATTTATAAATGTTATCAAATTAAGTAATCAACGCTAAATTTACCAATCAGTCAAAATGACTGGTTTCAGCTTCTGTACAAAAATTAGTAGGTTAAATTTCATCACATCTGCTCTACTAGTATTTACTATACTGGAAGAGGACCGATACAAGTCTAAAAGTATAAGTATGGCTGTATCGTGGAAGTCGCATATGTAAGAAAACATTCTTACATTCTTCTCTAATATACAGGGAGATTCTAAATTGTTTTTACAAATTAAAAGGGGTGATAGTACTCATCCAGATGAGCAATAATTAACATAGAACATAGGGTCGCATTCCACTCTGAGAGGCAGAAAAGAGGAATATTATAGTTCCAACCTGAACTTGCAACAGTGCTGGAAGAATAAAATGAACGATACCAAAAGTTGCGCAATCAGTTTAGTGAAAATCTCACAGAGAGTGCACTAAACGGATAAAACCGAAAACTTGGCGTTCGAGTGTTAACTCGAGCTCAGACTTTGATGGCAAACACTCAAATGCCCATCTTTGGTTGGCAAGGTCTCAAACTCGCAAACCTTACCTCCATGGATAAAACTGAAAAACTGTCAAGTCCGGTGACCTTGAGAACCATATGCAAACAACCTGATCATTGGGTACAGCACAGCCTACTCTATTCATCAGTTTGGCACCTTCTCGATTAGAAACTTACATTAGAATACCTTAGCAGGGGAAAAGGGATTGGAGACCCTCGGACCGTCACCCTGGGGTGTTTTCTCTCGGAATTCCACCCAAGAGAGAACCTTAGCAGTGAGCAAGGTCCCGGCGATACCTAATTTACCTGTATTGTTTGTTACTTGATCAAAACACTCTACGCTCTCACAGAGTACAAGACACATTAAAGTTGCATTCTACATACAAAATAATGGGCGAATTTTTGGTTTCTCAGATCCTGACACTGTACTTGTTTACCTTTCCCATTTGTTTTTGCATTACGTTTTACAGCTTAAAATGGTATAAACAAGAAAATATTATTAATAAAGTACAAGGCAGGTCGTCTTCCTACTGAAAATAACCTTCGCTTGCAGTATTTAACGCCCTCCTAAGTCTGAAGATTCTTGGGAAACTCATGCTGCTTTACGAAAATGTTTTGCAGAATTCTATGAAAAAATCCAATGTTTTTCTTTAGAATAGTTTAGAATTGTGGTGTATTTTCTGTAAACTAGGTCAGAGATGTCCTATTGAATTAGGTAAAATTTAGATATAACTTCTAATATTAAGTTATGCATAGATATTCTATAGGGATATGTGTAAGACATTCAGTAGAGATTTTTATAGAGATTCTGCAATATTTTGTACAGTTTATAAAGAGGTCCCACGTATAGAATTTTATATAATGCGTCTAGAATCAATTAATATAATTCTACTAAAATTATCCGAAATGTGTGGAAAACGGAGCAGTTATTCTAAAGAATTCTAGACACATTTCCGTAAGTTCATTTCCCATAAAAGATCATATAGAAGCTTTTGATTAGTGAAAAGCACGATGAAATCAATAGAATCTTCTTTTGAGGTCAGAAAAAACGAATTAAATTTTCATTTTAATAAAATTCTTTAACTTTGTTTAAATTTTAAAATTATCAAACCCAAGAAGGGGGAGGATAAAAACTATCCAAGAAAATAAATAAAAAAATATGTGATTTTATTATCGTTTTCATAAGAAAAAATATTTGAATAAGAATAAATGAATTTTAAATAACAGTTAAATCTAATTAAAATTAAGAAACTATTCCTCTTATAAGACACAATAATCAAATATTAATCCACATACAAAATAATTAATTCACATACACAATAGTTAATTAATCAACACACAAAATAATTAAAAGCATTTATTTTGAGAAATAAGACTTTACATTTAACAGCATAAATTAAAGCTTTGAACTAATTTTGTGATTTAAATTTATTCCAAGTTTTGACAAAATCTCATTTTTGTATTGCAAAAATTACATTGCAAGAAAAATCTTACATAAATTTAGAAGATAAAAAACGTTGAGTTAGAAGAAAATATGCAAACTTTCCATTCAAAAAATGTTAAACGCCTATGAATAAAAATTATTTATTGCGTTAGAAATTTACTATAGTTTGTTTTGATTATGATTTGAAAATTTTGCAGATTTATATAGAATGCCATTTCAAAAAGGCTTTATAAAATTCTTGTATGATTCTGCAAGGCAACATTTTTATAAACTTCTGTTCTGTGAAATCTTTAAGAAATTTCTATAGAATTTTATAGAGAAGCATTTCTACAGAGAATTACGTATAAAACTCTAGGAATTTCTGTAGAGCTCAATAAGCCTGTATGAAAATTAGGTAAGATCTTGCTAATTCTGCAAGCTTATCGGGTTAATTTCTTTGAGCTGCTTACAAAGATTTCTCTATTCGTGATTCCCTCCTACACGCAAGCTCGACCAGAATATCCTTTCTCTGACCATATATGCAAGTGTCAATAAATGTTTTAAGCCACTTCAAAATGGATTTGTGCGTAGGCAGATAAACGCCAAAATTGTATTTGAACGCACGCTACTCAATAATAACACTGGTTGTGTTTGCAAATTGTTAACGCGAACCAGCTTCGTTGCTTGAACATCATTTTAGACACAATTTCACTGGCCTCTAGAATTATTACCTCTAGTTCAATTATGCCTATCGTTTCTCAAAAGGGAAGAAAGAGAAAGCATTTTGAGTTAACTACGGATATCCTTTTTTTTTTCAATTTATTCAAGTAACGTTTTAGTTTTATGACATCTTGAAATCAGGCCTGTTTTTGTGCTCACCTTGTGCACATTAAAATTTAAAGAAAAATATATATACTTAGGTTTTGATATAGTGTACACAAGGTTTAGTTTATTTAACTACAGCAAAGCAGGCTAAGGCTATTTGCCCATCGAGGAAGACTTTCTATGGAAAACTAGCTCATATTCACGTTACATCATATGGGGAGGGGAAACCTTTCATGCAGTCAACCCGTTCGCCTGGAATCGAACTGCTAGTGACCAACCACCGCTCGATCACTGATGTACTCAGCGTACCCAAGAATTAGAAATTTTGAATTTCAAATTCAACCTTATCTTAGATGTTCAAAATTAATCTTATCAGAGAAGCTTATGAAAGAAAATTTAAAAAAAATTTCTTGTCGGAAAATGTTTTCAAGAAATCGAGAGGAATGTTTTTTTTAAATGATTATCTTAAACGGATGGGCAAAGAACTTCTACAGTATTGGAGGTATAAAAAAGATCTCATGCAGAGCAGATCAGCAGCAACGTCTCTATGACAGGAAATCTTATAGCAAACTGAAAAAATTGACACCTCTTCAATGCGCCCCAAGAAAAAATAATTGAAGAAATAAGTGAAATTAACAAAGAAATGAAGGCTGCTCTGAAATCGAAGAAAGTTAACTTTTTAAAACTGTGGAATAAGGAATCTATACTCAATATTTTGGGCTACAAATCTAATGACTTTTAATCATAAAATAAAACATTTTGAATAATAGGAACCTCTAAATCTATTTTTCAGATACAAAAATCTTTAAATCTACATCATCATAATAGCAGCTTCAATTCGATTCAGTGATTAATATACAGTATAACCTTTATCTATCTATCCACTCCGCACATACCGTTCGCTATTTCTGGTCCAGATTGAAATTCCATACGAGTAATATTTATTTCTCGAACTATTATCTTCCTGCATTAGTCTTTTATACATCACATTTCCATACAAATCGCGTAAGAAAAAAAATTTAAGTGAAATACGTTTAGATAATTTAGGTTACCTTCTCTTTTATTATTATAAATCTGACAATATAATACTGCAGTAATGTTTCGTCGCGTGTTTTTGGCTCATTGCTCGTGTTATTACATTATGGCCAAAGTCCTAGGTAGTAACCTTTATCGCCTACCAAAATGTCGCCAAACTGCCTGTTACCATATTCCAAAGATTAGCCGAAAAGGTTAAATATTTTCATTTCCTAATATGCATAAGCTTTAGGCTACGCTCAGCAAAAATTTACAACGAATAACTGGAATATAATACCTTTGGTAATTTATAAAAAATTCAGGGAACTGCATAAATGTGGGGAAAGTCAAGTTCCTAAAAACAACAGAGATTTATGCGATTTCTTTCTATGAAAATTACTAAAACAATGATAAAAAATACTTTTAATTCTTATCTTATAATATTGTAGAATTTGAAGCCATGAAAAATTAATTATAGGTTAACTTCATTTGAGAAATTAAATGCTTGACTACGTTTTAAAAGACATATAAACCTATCCTATTGATAGGTTAAATGACTTATTAATATATATTTTTTAAACTGGTAAAATATAAATTCTTCAATGAAAGTAATGAAAATTATTACGTATAGGAAAAAAAACGACAAAAAATATACTTTTAGTTAAGCTATAACTTTTTCAAAAAGGTTAGGTGTTTAGTCCTTAAGACGCAAACAATAAGCGAAGAAATAAGTGGTTAATCTTACCTCATTAACCGCCAGAAAAGATCTGTTATTTGTAACATGAGACATCGAGAAATCTTATTATATTGCACACCTAACCGTAAAACGCAATTCAGATCTGAACTAGCCACATCAACAATAAGCTTACAGAAACCAAACTAACTCCTTCTGTTTAAATGAAAATGATCCAGAATTCTTATTTGGCGAATCTTTAAGTACCTTAATATTTGCCAAGTGATTGCTTAACCAGACTAGATCTGAAAGCCCGGGAAGAAATGCAAGCCCTATACATCTCGCCAAATATTAGAGTTCTTTAAGAAATTTTTAGAAAAGAAAGTAAAAACCCTTTAAAGAACTTGCTAGCAGATGAAGGCAATACATAAATAAATCCTTACCTTTTTCAGTTTTATATAAGTTGAATTATGATAATAATAATATGAAAATTCGCATTTTGATTTAAAAAAAACTCGCCAATAAACTTAACTTCATCACTTATTTGGTTGTTAATCTATTGTAGGAATTGTATTAAAAAAGACTTTTTTTCCTCAATACGAATTAGAGTTTTAAATTTCGGAACATTTTCTTAAAACAACCTTTATTATTAACAACAATTTTCCTAATTTTATTTCTTATTTTTTTTTAAAACTGAAGTATCTGCAATATAAAATTTACGGGTTTTTTTTCCGTTATAAAGCAAGACACGCCAAATAGTTTCCTCTAGAAGGATATATGCGCCAACTTGATATTTTCAGCGTGAAAACCCTTTTTGGACATTAGCTTATTTCGACTGACCATTTTGTGCGAAGAATTATGCCCACCACATGTACAAGTTGCTTACAGAATAAGATATATTGCTCGAAATATACTGCACGAAATACGTGAGTAAATAAAAACCAATGATACTTTTAACAGCGTATTCAGGCAATGTAGCACGGAATCAGATCTTACAAATATACCGCAGTGAAAAACCTGAAAAGGTTCATATTTGTGTAACGACAAGCATTTAAAATTCTGCAGTGACCAAATATGATAAGAGCCCAAAGTACACTCAGATATCGGATAATTATTTATCCGATCACGTCTCATATGATAACACAAATCTTGTACAAGCATTAGGCTCTTTTGAACTTATAAATCAAGAACTATTTTAGGCATCTACCTTTATTATAATGCACTCTAATGTATTCTAATAATGCATTCTGAAAATGTGCGTACTTATATGTTTACCTCCATCTTCTTAAGCAGCAGTGTAGTTGGATAGGGGACTAATTGCTAAATAGTAACGCCTAAGTCAATTTCAGTGCATTTATTGGGGTGTTCTTTCATCACGCCTTTGTTTCAATACTAAGTGTTTTCCTAGTATAATTAGAGTTTATCTTAGTGCATTATTTTCGATTTTCAATTTTCGTTTCTTTATCATGACTATTTTAACCATTTGCGTGCTGAAGAATTTTCTTGTATATACGCTGAAAGTTCGGAATAAATGCTTAGTTATTTTTGTGTGGAAAATAATGTAAACGGTTATAATTAACTTAATTATTATATTGTTGCATACGTACGGGTTAGTAGCAGATTGAATGCACGGAAGTCCGATGATAGCTTGATAAAATTTATTTTATCAAAGGAAACACTTCACAGTTCTGGAACTTTCTGAAAAAATAGTCGGACAGTTCTTCACAGTATCACAGAGTATAATCAGTAGTTAGACTTCAAACTACTAAGAAGCAGATGCTGTCTCCGTTCTTTATATAGTTTTTCCATCCGGCCGCCGAGATATTTCCAGCATTTTCTGCTTCTCGAAATTACTGGAATGCATATGAGGGCCACATACAGTTATAGTTACACAGACCATCTATTGAAGTTATTCAATTACAATATACAGGAAACGGACCAAAATGTCGCCAAATTGTTGCCAAATTTCGCGACTTCTGTAGTTTTCAGACCAAATTTGGTGACAAAAATTAGTCGCCAAAACCGTTGTCAGCTTGGCGATATGTCATCAAATTAGAGAAATAGCCGTTTGCAATAGACTTGCCCCTGTATTCTTATTTTTCCAGCAGAACATCATCTCTAGATTTTCATGTTACATTATACAAAAAAATACAACAATTTCACATACAATTTCCTTAAAATTATCTATCTATGTACAAAATTCGCAATAATATAAAAAGTTCTGCCATTGCTCCACGAGCAGGCTACAAGGCTAAAAAAGTGCTCTTTTAAGGAGTGGTCTATTATGCTGCCCACCAACGGCCGAGCGGTAAAGACGCTGAACACTGGTAGTTCGGTCCGAGGTTCGAATCCCGCGAACGGGCTGGCTGCATGGGCGTTTTCGTGGTTTTCCCCATGTGTAACGTGTATACGAGCCAGTTTCCCTTAGAAAGTCCTCCACGAAGGCATCCCTCCCTTTAGGCAGATAGCCCTCGTGTGCTTTGCCCTAATTAAAATAATCCAATTCAATCCATGGTCTATTATGCTTAGAAATCACGGGCAAATGGTTCTACAGGGAAGCGGAATCGCAAGAACTTTAGACTGGTATTCAGGGTTTGAAACTTCATAACGATGCTTCAGAAGAAGATAATATAACTATACTTGAATAAATTCAATTTCTGTGCATAAAATACATAAATAGATATAGATTCTTATTCATGGCTATGTGGATAAATGTAGCGTTTTGTAAATGAATAAATGTTAATTGTTATGCATGAAAAGTAAAACATTCCTTTAAAATAAGCCGTAATATGTCATTTGGAGCAAACATTAATGTAAGACCCTGTCTTAATTTCGGAAAAATACGGTAATAATTCATTTGGCTATCTTCTGAAATGTTTAATAGTTGCTTCCCGTCTTTAAACTATTTTCAGTTTAAACTTTTTCCCTTATACACGTATACTTAGACTGACAGAAAATGAAATCCTGACTCCAAGAAAGAGTTGTGCCAGAGAAACGAAATTGAGAGACATATTTGGCCTTTTGAGTGATGACATCTTCAAATTTCGCACTAAACAAGTAAATGTGGCACTAGTCTTTCCCCAGTGAACATAGAGATACCGTTTGCCTTGAACACGCTATGTAAGCTTCGTATACTTTAGTTGACGACTGGACGTTGTGAGTGATAGAGATAAGAATGCCTTTAAGAAGTAGAAGGCAATTTCAACATCTTACTGATTTGAACAAAGCCCTGTTATAGGAGAAGGTGGATTTTCTTTTCGTGATATTGCAGAAAGACTTGTCAAAGTTATACCCGCTGCGCGTGCGTGTTGTCAAGAGTAGTCACAGGAAATTACTGTCTCAAAAAGCCTAGGGGTTGGCCATACACTAGCCTAAAGGAAAACCGCCCCATGTCTGTGGAGCATGTATTCGTCGCATGTCTGTGGCACATCGCACTGCATTTGCAGCATACATTAGAGTTTTTGTTGGCACCAGAGTGACTCAGGAAACTATAACAAATCGATTACTTGAGCGATAGCTCGGAGCCAGATGCCCTGTAGCGGCCATAGATCTAACTCCAAATCACCGCCATCTACTGTATTGGTAGTGCCCAGCAATGGCTTATTCGAGAAAGGAGTTACGATAATGTTCTCAGATGTCAGCAGTTTTGTTTTGGTGCCAGTGAAGGCCGTAGGTTGGCTAGAAGGAAGGCAAGTGAGTGCATTGAACCAAACTGTCTGCTGTGGAGACACATTGGACCTACACCAGGAATGATGGTTTAGGGAGGAATTTCTTATGACAGCAGGAGAACTAGAGTCGTTATCTCACACACCTTGACAGCAAATTTATACGTCACACTGGTGATTGCACCGGCTATGCGGCCATTCTTGAGCAATATTCCAGGGGACGTTTTGCAATTAGACAACTTTCGCTCCCATCTCACTGCTATTCACCCAACACGCTCTACAGAATGTCGAAATGTTTGCCTTGGCTCGCAAGATCACCTGATATTTCTTCTACCTAGCACGTATGGGACATGACTGGACAACTAAACCAGCCTCAACCGCAACCAGCACGGACACGGACCGTTATTGATTTGACTAACCAAGTGCAATAGACATAAAACTCTGTCCCACAAAATGACATATGGCACCTGTGCGGCAGCGACACAATGCATGAGCGTTTGCACGCTTGCATTCAACATCGTGGAGACGACAACAGTTATTAATGCACTACAATTTCACGTTAGAAATGACTGTTCTCGTGCATACTTTAACACGGAATCTGTTGTTGTGACTATCTTATTTGTCTGACTGTAGCATCATAATAAGGCCACGAAATTCATCGGGCAAGGTGTGCGAGATTGCGCCCATCATTGGCAATAGCCTTCAGCACCATACAGCTGACAGTACGACTTTGCTCGGTTTCGGCCCCCCCCAATTTTGATGGAGAGCAAACGTGGGTGGACGTGTCCGAGGATCTCTCACCCCTCTTTCCCTACCCGCAATTTCTCGAAAAGACTTTCGACTAGCATATTTAGAGTGTCTCCATGCCACGCAGACAATATACATTTACAAACATCCTTGCCTTCACCAGGATTCAAACCCTGGCCTTTTGGTACGGCAGTCAGCTTCGCTAACTACTATCCCTGTCGGGCGGCAACCTGGAATCTTGAAACATTAATCAAATGAATATGTAAGCTAGATAAATGCTTTGCTTACATTTCATTCCTCTGAACTGAACACTTCTTCGTGCTGGGATTTCATTTTCCATCAATGCATGTAATATATATTATCGTTTACTTTCCCGTCATTTGCTTAGAATATTTTCAAAAACTTGATGAAAAAATTGATAAAGGAATGAAATGCGAACATGTGGACTTTAAAAGTTCAACAAAAGCTAGCTATTAAAAGGTTATGTTATATGAATATGGCGAAGGACATGAAGGCTATCTGCCTTGAAGAGGAATGGATGACTTTCTAAGTAAAACTGGCTCGGACTGACATTACACAGCGGGAAACCATGAAAAAAAACCATGTAAGCTTGTTTACCGAGATTTAACCGATTTAATATCGTTTCGCACTTCTTGCTTTCTGGGGTTACCCTACTACTACCGAATGATTCATGGAGACTGTAATTTTTTTCATTATACATTTGGAATGGTTCGATACTAAAGGAAACGAAAGCTGGAGTTTCACACTCCCCTGACTTTCGAGCTAGACGGACGCTTTTCTCCTCACTGCTGAA